ATTTCTCCCTGTTCACTTTGTAGCTTAGTGATCCATCTTTTTTCTGCTTGTTTCTTCAGTTTCCAGGCTAGCAATCTTCCTGGTTTATTGGCGTTCTCAAATACATTTTGTTTTTTTCTTTTCAGTTTTGGGGCCAGGTCTTCTTTTTCCAGCAAGTTTATTTCATGTTTTCTTAAATCCATTCGCATTTTTATCTCTTTCTGTTTTGGTTCTTCTTGCAGCTTCATCTCCAAGTTTCTAAATTCCATTTCTAATGCTTTTCGTTGTAGCTTATTTTTGTTTTTATTCACCATATAATTTATCGCCACCCCTCTCATAAAATGCTTTAGCCATGTCCCAGGTGTTTTGTAGGGATGTGTCTTCTTCTTTGTTCTCCTTAAGGAAGAGTTTCATTTCCTTTTCCAGTTTAATTTTAAATTCCCCCTCTTTTAGGATCACTCTTTGTAAAGTCCATCTTGGTGTCTTGGATCGATCTTTCCAGCTAAACTTGATATAGCTATGATGTCCCCACAAGCTTGGTTCAATTTCTATTTCAGTTATTTCTGAAGACAAGCTTCTTTGGCATCCGTACCATATCCGGTATCGACCAAGACTGATGTCTGTTAGAATAAAACGTAAACTGTTTCTTACTTGGATGGTGTTCTCTCCATGCATCAAAATCTTAGCCTCTTTTGCCAAATCATGAAAATTTTTCGGTAATACCTTTCTCATTATTTTCTTATTTTCAGCTTTATAGTCCATTGTTTTATCTATAATTGCATTAAAATCACCTAAGATGCAAATCTTATCATAATGTATTTCCTTATTATTATCATACAATTTTTGAAAGGTGTTCTTGTGGACCATTCAGAGCATAAATTTCTATCAAAAGAATCTTTTTATTCTCTAACTCTATCTCTACCATCAATATCCTACCATCTTTATCTTTAAAAATTTCTTTAGCCGAGATCCAATCTTTTTTGTATAACACCACCCCCCTTTTCTTTTGCTTATCTAATGACATAAAAGCATTTCCTAAATTTCTGTTAGCAGGTATTTTTGCTTCTCTTTTATATGCAGCTCTTGTATGGCTATTATATCTGCATTCAGTTTTTTGTAAGTTATGAAATATTTCTTGCTTTTACCAGAGAGTTTAAGCCATTAATGTTCATCAAAATTACCTCACAATTTCTCTCTCTTTTTATCAATTTCTTTGTCTCATACTCCTTGTTGCTCAAGTTGTTCCACTGGTTAATTATTCTATCAGGAAATTTCTCCTTAGTTCTAGGTTGCTTCTCTCCTTGATTAGTTTCCAACCATTGTTTCTTGACCTGTTCAATCAAATGATTGATTAATAATGATACTAAGGTATTTAATTTTTGATTGACAATATGAGATTATATGTAATTGTAATTGAAGACTACGAAATGGAAGCACAAAACAATCCGTAAACCAACCGGCACACTGTATGTACACCCATGGAAGATAGCTTGATGTTTTGTTTGTTTATGTTTGTTTTTCAAAACCAATAAAATTAAAAAAAGAAGAAGATAATTATGAGATTATTACAACAGATTGCGATGGACTTGGAAAAATGGAAGAACTTACAACTATCTTTAATAGGTAGAATTGCAACAATTAAAATGAACATATTACCAAAAATATTATACTTTTTCCAGACGATTCCAATAAGACTGAAAAAAAATACTTTGAAGATTTAAATAAAATGATGTTGAAATTTATTTGGCTGAGGAAAAAAAACAAGAATTAAGATAAAACTATTGCAGGACGCAAGGGAGAGAGGGGGTTTTCAATTACCTAATTAGGAACTATATTATCAGGCAACAATATTGATGTGGATGAAGGAATGGATTGTATTGAAAAATACCAGATTATTAACACTAGAAGGGCTTGATTTACAATTGGGGTGGCATGCATTTTTATGGTACAAAGAAAGTAAGGTACATGGATATTTTAGAAGATACTCCATTAAGGATGCTTTATTTACAGTATGGGAAAAAATAAGAGACTATAATTACATGAAAATACCAGTCTGATTATCAACATTAGAAGCTTTTACATATCCACAGTTATTTAAAAAGGAATACATTATTAGATATGAAAAAAAATTTAAATGAACAGGGTGAACTCAAAACAAAGCAAGAATTAGACTTACAAGGGATAAATGTAAATTGGTATTCGTATTTGCAAAAATATACAAGGTATGAAAAAAACATTAATATGGCTGGGTTTTATAAGGAATTGACTGAATTGGATAAAATCCTAACAGGCACTGAAGATAAGTTGATCAAAACACTATATGGTTATTTATTAGGAGTGAAATTAGAGGAAGAACGAGTAAAAGAATGATTGCGTGGGGGAAAAACTTTGGATATGGAATAGACTGAGATAAATGGCAGATATTATGATCTAGAAACTATAAATTATGTCAACTGCCTATAAGAGAATTTGTATAAGATGTTTTACAGGTGGCATCTACCCCAAGAATTGCCAAAATCGGCGAAGTACTGGAAATGTTAGAAGTCACCAGGATCATATTACCATGTGGTGGACATGCACAGAAGCCAAAAAGTATTGGACTAGAATACACATGTGGCTGAAGAAAATGATAAAACAGCCTATAGACTTAAAACCAGAGACATTTTTATTGGGAATTTTGCCTGAGGGTTACAATAAATAATTAATGTATTTGATTATCAGTGTATTAATAGCAGCTAGGATTGTATTTACACAAAACTGGAAAAATAAGAAAATTCTGATGGAGGAGGAAATAATTAAGAAAATAATGGAATGTACAGAAATGAGTAGATTGACAATGGCAATTGGAGAACAAGAAGAAAAAGATTATTATAAAAATTGGAATTTATTTTATGAATAGCTGGATAGAAGAGTAAGAAATTAAAATATGTAAGTGCAGTCTAATATATCATTACCAATAAACGGATGAGTTAGAATAAGAAAATGAATATGGAATGTATCATTGAAAATCAATAATTACAACGTTAAGGATAATATAAGTGATATAAAATACTGATTAGAGCAATAATATATAAAATATGTATGATAATATTATGTGCACAAAGATATATGTACCCAACTGATTCGCTGTTGAACAGAAAGGTTTTGTTTGTTTTTGTTGTTGTTATAAAAATAAAAAACTTTTTATAAAATTAAAAAAAAACATTTAAAGTATCTGTTGTTTCCAGGGCTCATCCTTTTAAAATTATATCCAGCCAGAGCTCATTCTGAATTTTGATGTCTTCCAAATCATTCATACGTGCACTGGCAAAATTTGATTTGCAATTTCATTTTCATTTATTTATTTGTTCATTCATTCATTCATTCGGGGTCCTTGGTGAATTCTGGGCTTGCTTGTTTTCTTCTAGACGTTTCATTACCTAAATTAGGTAAAATCATCAGTATTAAGTCACTAGTACTGATGGGGCCGCGGTGGCTCATGTAATAAGACGCTGGGCCCATGGACCCCTGAGGTTGGCAGCTTGGCGGTTCGATTCCCATAAACCGCGGAGGGACAAGAAAGGAGCCTCCCCCTGATTGCATTCAGGCATCCTGCAGGTAAAGATAACACTGCTCAAAAAAATTCCTTTCACAGAGGCAGCCAGCCACCTCAGTGATCCCTGGCTAACACGTGCCATACGCTAAATAAACCAACTAGTACGGATGTTACCTAGTTTGGGTAATGAAATACCTGCATGAAAACAACCAAGCTCAGAGAGCACCCCACATTTCAACAAATATTCTCATTGACTGATTGACTCACTCGCTCATTCTGTATGGCCACCCACTTGCCAAACTACTCTGGAAATGAGGCTGTACAAATATACATACAGATAAATTACAAAAATAAAGCCTACCAAAACAAATCTTTATTATCTCTAGAATTCTTTTTTTAATCTTTTCAGCTGAAAATTGTAAAATTGATTAATAATAGGCAACGGAAGTCTTGTTTTGTAATGCAGCAACATTTATTTATGAATCAAATTTCTAGGTTGTCCAACCAAACGACTCTGGGCAGCTAAACATATTGAAAAACTATAAAGTCAGCAATAAAACCCAGTAGATAACATCCGTTGAAAGAAACACCACCAGCAGATTCAAAAGCAAGACAACGAAGTCATACAACCACGCTAATTCAAGGCGCAGAGAACAGCCATGATCGCAATGTTCTTTTAGGGGCCAGTAAGGTGTTTTTTTTTGGGGGGGGGGGTTCATACAAATCCCTGGAGAGACCCTGTTCCACAGGGCAGGTCTAATGGCAGAAAGGGGGCTCTTCCTGGGTATTACTCATTGGCATTCTTTAATTGGCAAGATCCAGCTTCAGTTTGGCTGTCAGCTCTTACAGGACACACAGAAGCTGCAGATGGTTCCTTCTAGGTTCCATCCCAGGAAAGGCGAGGTAAGGGCCAGCACCCTGAATTGCACCTGGAAGCCAACCGGTAGCCAGGGCAGTCCACGACGCATCTGCGACACAGCCAAGCTTAATCTCTGGGCCAGCGGTAGCTTCCAAGTGGTCCTGAAAGGCAGCTCCATGCACGTCCCACCTGGCAAGGACCTACCCAAGGCTTCAGCCATCATAAGAAAGGGCACAGCTGGCACCTACGCAGAGGCCCTTCTAGCTGCTGCTGCTGCTAGGGTTTAGCCAGAGCTGCTTCCGGCCCATCCAGTCTCTCCCACAGCCTCCAGGAACAGGGACATTCCTTCGGAGGCCTTGCTTGATACGCAACTGGCTTTCCTCGGCACTCCCTCTCCCAGGTTCCATTAGAGAAACAATTCTCCAGGTGGAGAGTCTCAAGGAAGCCCGCCCTTACTCACAAAAAGCTGCAGAGTGGCCGCCTTGTCCCTCTAACTTTGAATCCCTAACCTAAGAGCGATTCTCAAATGGTGCAGCCAAAGAAACGGGGGGTAAAACTGCTCCCTCTAACACAGGTGGGTAAAACACTCACGCTTCCCATAGCAAATAAATCAGTGCACTTGCTAACCTGTTTCTCTTCTAAGCTACCCGGGGAAACCTGGTGGGTTGCAAAGATAGATAAAGCAGGGTAAGAAGAGCCCCCGGGCAGATCAGAGCCCCCGCCCACCCAGAGGCCGTCCTCCTTCCCACCCAGGGAAAGTTTCTGGGGTCCTCCATCCAGGCTCTTCCTGCCAAGTAGCGCTTGGCTTCAGCTACCTCGTGTTGAGGAAACGCTTGGAAAGAAGTACCCCTCCTCCAGGGGGACAAAATCAGGCTCCCATTTAGGCCAAAAGGAAATTCCAAATTTGCTTGAGGCCCTTTGATTTTTCCATCTATTTCAAAGTCACCTAGTGGAAGTTCCAAATTCTAACCAGCCTCCGGAAACAAGGCAGGCCACATCACTCCCTCCTTGATGGCGGTCTATGAGCCAGAAATGAAAAAGCCGCCGCTCTGGCATTTCACTTGAAAGCATTCCAGCTTCCACCATTACCAAAAGCAACGCCTCCACCTTGGAAGGGGAGCACAGTCGGCCTCCCAGAGAGCGGAGCTGTGGAGAAGCCCCTCCGCTTGCTTGCTTGCTTCGGGAAGGGCAGAGCTGGCCAGGCAGGGACCCTCTTCTCAGGGCTCCTCGGGTCACCTGCCAGGCACACCTGGCCCTTCGCGCCCAGAAACCAACCCGTCGCCCAGGCGCACCTTCGACTTATCTCCTCTCCTTTAGGCGCCGCTGGGCTTCCCGGGGATCCAGTCAGGCGGCAACCCGTTGGATGGAGCCATCCGGGGAGCCTCCTTCCAAGAGCCGGAACTTCCCTGCAGGAGGCCAGGCGGCGTTGGGCTTCCCGCTTCAGCACCGGGGCGGCTGCCTTGGATCGTCCCCGCCTGAGAAGCGGGAGAAAGAGCGGGCTGCCAAGGCGGCTCGGTCCGGGAAGCGCAACCCGGGCGGGCAAAGCGGCTGCCGGGGAAGAGCAGGACTTCGCGGGGGATAAAAGGGAGCCTCGCCGGAGGAAGGCCCGGGAGCGGGAGGGGCTCCGAGGCGGCCCCCACGGCGCTGCCCGCCCCCAACCCGAAGCGGCTCCGGAGGGGCCCAGCCGTCGCTCCCGGCAGCCTCCTGCCCGCCCCCGCCCCGCCGTCGCACCAGGGCCCGGGACTTTCTCCCCGGGAGGCTCCGGGGGGGAGGGGCTCCGCGGCCTCTCCTGGGCGGGCACAGAGCCGCTCACCCCGGAGGGCAGCCGCGTCTCGCGCCGCTCTCTCCCTCCCCCGACGCGGCCGGGCCGGAAAACGGAGGCGCTGAGCGGGAGACCGGCCGGGGGGAGCTCCCTCCCTCCGAGGCCCGCGGGAAGGCGCCCCCCCTCCCCGCGGACCCAGGGAAGCCGAGCAGGAGGCAATGGCGGAGGGGAGGCCCGGCACACCGGGGCCAGGGACGCGCCCTCACCGGCCAGGCGGCTCCTTCCGTGCTGACGGACCGGCCGCCTTACTCGCTCCTTCGCCGCCGCCGCTCCGGAAGCAAAATGGCGGCGGGGGCACAAGCGCGCACGCGCACGAGGCCAACCTGCGGACGGCGAGCCCGCTCTGCGCATGCGTGTCCCACCGGCGGCGATGGCGGCCCCGGGCGGCTGCGGCCCTTCCCCGCCGGCGCTGCTGCCTTGGGGACGGCTGTCGGCGTGGCTGGAGTGCGTCTGCGCGGTGACCTTCGACCTGGAGCTGGGCCAGGCCCTGGAGGTGGGTCGCTGGGGGTGCGTGGGGGAGGGGGGGTCCGTCCCATCCGGCGGGGTGGCTGACGGTCGCTCTGCTCCTCCCGCAGTGCATCTATCCGCCGGACGGCCGCCTGACCGAGAAGGAGGTACCGGGGGGGGGGAGGAGCAGGGGAGGGGGCGGGTGGGCGGCCCGCGCCCCTCTCACGTCCTTTCCCCCCTCTCCCCCCCCCCCCGCAGAGGACGAGCGTCTGCTACCTGGCCTTCCCCGACTCCTACTCCGGTCAGTGGGGCGGGGCGGGGCGGGGCGGGGCGGGGGCTGGAGCGGCCCCTTCGCTGACCCCCCTCCTGCCGCTTGCGCCGCAGGGAGCCTCGGGGACACCCAGTTCAGCTTCCGCTTCCGCCGGTCTGCGGGGCGAGGACGGGCGGCGGCGGCCGGCGAGTGGCGGTGCAGCCGGGAAGCCCCGCCGGGCCTGCAGGTGGGTCGGGGGTCGCCTCGTCCGGAGTGGGGGCTCCTCCGCTGGGGCCCCCCGGTCGCCCCGCTTTCCTCGGCGGGCCGGAGGTGAGAGGGCTGCCCTGCTTCTCCCCAGCCGGAGCCGGCGCACCTCTTCGGCTACGTCTTCTTCCGGCAAGTCCGGGACCGCTCCGTGCAGAGAGGCTACTTCCAGAAGGTGAGGGGGGGAGGGGAGGGGAGGGGAGGGCCTGCCCTGGAGGAGGGAGGAGGGCCGTTCAGGGTCTCCGCCTTTCCGCTCCAGTCGCTGGTGCTGGTGACTCGGCTGCCCTACGTGACCCTCTTCCACTCGCTGCTGCGCCTGGTCGCCCCGGAGTACTTTGAGAAGCTGGATCCGTGTCTGGAGGCAGGTGAGGGGGGGGGGCTGCCTAGGATCACCCCAAGGCCGGGACCCCTTTTGGAGGGAAAGCTGGGGGTCTCCGGAGGGCCCCCTCTTGTTTCCGGGCTCCTGGACCTGAGCAAGCCAAGCCAGGGAAGCGCTCAGCCGCTGCTCCCTTTGCACTTCTTCCAGTGTGCAGCGAGATCGACCAGTGGCCGCCCCCTGTGCCCGGCCAAACGCTGAACCTGCCGGTGATGGGGGTGGTTATTCAGGTATGGGCCGGGACGCTTCCTGCTGGGTGCCGCTTCCTGTGGGCGGCTCTGTTCAGGAAGGGGGCTCCATTTGCTGCTCTGCTCTTTCTGGTGCAGGTGAGGATTCCTTCCCGGGTGGACAAGCCCGGCTCCTGCCCCGCCAAGCCGCTGATTCAGGAGGTGAGGGGAAGTGACCGCCTTAGCGGCACCTGCGGGTGGCCTTGGGACGACAAGGGGAAGAGGAGGAGGAGCTCCCAGTAGTCGGGAAGAACCGAATGGCCAGAAGTCCGTGCCTTCCGCTTTGCAAGATTCTGTTCGTACAGCCTTCCACCAGAGTAGAAGCGGCTCCTCCGGCCGCACTTGCTGTGGAGGTTGCCTGGGAAGGCTGGCATGGGAGCTCAACCTCTTCCAGCACTGCCTGGTCCTGAGCACTGCCTGGCCCCAGTGCTTGATGCGAGCGGCTGTAAAGGCTGAGCCGCTGGTGTGGGGGTTGCCCCCCCCCCCAGGCTTGCCCATGGACCCCGCTTGAAGCCCTTCCCGGGTGTCCCTGTGCTGGCAGATGGCATAGCCCACAAGCCCTGGTCTGCCTCTCCTGTGGTGCAGTGAGGCAGAGGGCGGTCTGCCCGTGTGTGCGCATGCCTGGGGGGTGGGGTGGGGTGGTTTAGCGCATCCTTGCTTCTGCTTAGAAATCGCCACAACGTCCCTCGCCGGCAACGCCACCCCTTCCGCTCTGAATTGGGTCTGGTTTCTCTGGATGCTCCTCTCCATCCAGGCCACACAGAGAGAGAGTCTGGATTGGGCTCTTCCTTTGGAGACCGTGGCTGCTTCCCCTTCCAAGCGTGTCCGGAGAGAAGCAGCTGTGTGTCCCTCCAGGCTCAGAGCCTTTTGCCTTTGCCCTTCTCTCCCTGCCCAGAACCTCCTGCCAGCTCCCCTCATCCTCCCCAGTGTGGCTGAACTGGACCTCTTCAGGTGAGGACTCTCCCTGCTTCTTGCAAAAAACCCAGCTCCTGTCCGGGGGGGGGGGGGGATGCCTGGCGAAACCCTCAGACCAGCCTGGGCTACACAAACACGGAGGAGGAGGAGACTGGGAGCGCTCGAGACGGGGTTCACGCCCCACAGCCTGAGGGGCTGAGCCAGAACCTGACCAGAGATGGGGCTGGCGGCTGCGTGGTTCAGCACAGTGCTGGAGGGCAGCCCTCGGGGTGTCCCCATTCGATGCCCAGCTGTGCCCTCTCCCCTTTCCTGCTCCCGGGACAGGTGCTTCCAGTCGGTGCTGGTCCACATTCAGCTGCTGTGGGAGCTCGTCCTGCTCGGGGAGCCCCTGGTGGTGGTGGCCCCTTCTCCTGCCATGTCCTCAGAGATGGTCCTTGCGCTAGCCAGGTACCAGACCCGCCTACCGGCCCCTGCGAAGCTGCCGTGGCCTATAGGGAGTTCCTGGCCAAGGGGCCCCCTCCATGCAGCCCAGCCTCCCCACTGCCCACTCCCCAGCTCCGGCTGCTCTCAAACAGGAATTGTTTTCTCCCCTCCCCCCCGCACCCACCCAGCTGCCTGGCGCCCCTGAAGTACTGCTGTGATTTCCGCCCATACTTTACTATTCATGACAACGAGTTCAAGGAGTACACGACCCGGACGCAGGGCCCGTGAGTCTCCTCCTGCCCAGGGTGCCTCGAGGGGCTCCGGGAGGAAGCCCCTTCCTCACCCCTACCCCCCGCTTGCTCCCCCAGCCCCAGCGTGCTCTTGGGCGTCACGAACCCCTTCTTTATCAAGATGCTGCAGCACTGGCCCCACCTCCTGCGCCTCGGGGAGCTCCGGGTGGCTGGTAAGGCCGGGCTGGGCCCGCTGGGTGAGGCTCGGGGGAAGGCCAAGAGAGCTTGCCCGTAGCATCGGCACGAGAGGCAGCGGAGCCCGAGGTCGGAGGCGGGAGGAGGGTTGGCTCCCGCGGGGCAGCCCCATCCGGCCTGCAGCCTGGGCAGGGGGTCTGGCCACGGCAGCCCAGCCTGGCAATGTGTCGCTCCTCCCATGCAGGGGACCTGCCCAAGCAGGTCAAGCTGAAGAAACTTGCCAAGCTGAAGACCTTGGACACCAAACCAGGTGAGCCGACCCTCCCGCTGACCCCCTTCCTGCCCAGTTGCTGCTGCTGCTGCTGCTGCTGGATAGGGAGGCCCGAGCGGGAGCCCCAGCCGAGCAGGGCCGGTTCTGCAGCTGGCGAGGAGGGTGGGGCTCCCTCACCCCACCCCACCCTCCTCGCCTCTTTTCTGCTTGGCTCTTCTTCTGTGCCCCCCCCCGCTCCCCCCTCCAGGACTTTACACGTCATACAAAGCGTTTCTGCACAAGGACAAGACGCTGATCAAGAGGCTCCTGAAGGCGAGTCAGAGCCGAACCTGGGAAAAGGGCTGCGGGCTCTCCTGGGCCTCCTCCCTTCGCGGAGTCGGGAGAGGAGGACAGGCTGCCCTGCCAGAGGCACGGGGTCCCCCTTCCCCTAGGCCCAAAGTCGGCCTCCGGGCCCCTCGGGGCTAAGGCTGCCCAGGCTCCCGGGCTCCCCCCTCCCGGAGCAGCTCAGCAGGAGCAAAGGCGGTGGGGGGGAGGGCGGTCCTGGTAGGCCTGCTGGGGGGCTAGTTTCAGGCTTCAGCGCACCTCCCCTCCCTGCCCTGTGCCCCCCCCCTCCTGAGGCCCTTCCCGGGCAGGCGGGGCCTGGTGGGTTCCCCCGTCCCTGCTGCTCCCTGAACGGATGAGGAAGAGGAGCCCCCTGGGCCATGTCCCCTTTGCAATGGGGGCCTCGCTGTTTGGGGGGGGAGGGCAGCGGGGGTGGATCTTGGCTGACCTCTGGCTGTGCTCCCCAGGGCATCCAGAAGCAGCGCCCGTCCGAGGCCCAGAGCGCCCTGCTGAGGCGCCAGCTCTTGGAGCTCACCCAGAGCTTCATCATCCCCCTGGTAAGGGGTGGGTGGGAGGGGAAGGGGGGCTGTGGCTGGGAGGGGAGCCACAGCTCCCCACTGTCCCCTTTCCCCCTGAGAAGCTCCTCCCCCAGCCGACTCCCACCTGCCGCCTCCTCCCTAGGAGCACTACATGGCAAGCCTGATGCCTCTGCAACGGAGCATCACCCCGTGGAAGGTGAGGCCTTTCCCGGCCCCCCTGTCGCAGAGCCGGAACACCTGTGCTGGAGTGGGCCTCGCTCCCTGGCTGCCCGGTTTCCGCCTCCCTCCCTCTCCCTAGACTCCCCCTCGGATCCGCCCTTTCCACCAGGAAGACTTCCTGAAGAGCTTGGACCAGGCCGGGCCCCAGCTCACCTGTGCGCTCAAGGGCGACTGGCTGGCCCTGTACAGGTAGGCAGGTCACGCCCCCTTCAGGGCCCCTGAAGCCCAAGAGCCAGACCTGTGGGCACAGAGCAAACCCTCCCCCCTCCCCAAGGCCGGACCTCCCCGTCTTGCTCCCTAATCCCACCTCCACCTGGGGCAGGGACCCAGGTGCTCCCTTGGGAGAGATTTGCCCTTTTAGGCCAAGGCCTCGTGCCACGGAAGAGCCGGGCTCTGCACCAGGGAGCCACCAGCAGGTTGCACGACGCTCTTTAGAAGCAGCCTGAGTGGGGTCCTGCCACTGAAACCTGGCCAAGCCCCTCCAGGGTGAGGCTCCTCCGGACTGACCCCCCCTCCTCTCCCCCAGGCGGTTCTTTAAGTCGCCCAACTTCGACGGCTGGTTTCGCCAGAGGCACCAAGAGATGAGGCAGAAGCTGGAAGCTCTCCACCTGGAGGCCATCGCTGAAGCGGTGGGTGGGGAGGGCGTTGGTGGGGGCCCCTTTGGATGGGTCGGTCTCTCTCTCACACACACACACACACACCCCTGCCTCAGTCCACTCACTGTAGGGCAAGGAGGCCCTAGAGCAGCGGGGGGTGAGGGGGTGAAGCAGGCTCAGGGTCCGGGGGGGGCGCTGCTGCATAGGCGCCCCTGGACAGAGTGGGAGCAGGAGGGGCCCCTCCTCTGTTCCTCTTCCCTTAGAATGTCAGGGCCTGGATGGTGGACAAGTCCGAGGCAGAGGCGGTGGACCTGGTGCTGAAGCTCCGCGAGAAGCTAGTAAGCGGTTTTCGCTCACTGTCAACCCCCCATGCCCCCCCCACCTCCCCCACCCCGTGGTCACTGCAGGGGAGCCTGAAGAGGGGCCGCAAGGCTCCACTTAAGCCGTTCCAGGAACAGGGGGAACCCACTGGCCCCCCTACAGTGGACTGCCCCCCCCGGGCAAAGGCAGCCGTTGCATGGAAAGCAACCGAGTGGCACTGGGGGGTGGGAGGAAGGGAGGAAGGGAGGGGGGCCCAAGAGTCTTGGGACCAGCCGGCCTCTCACCCGGAGGGGCCCTGCCAGGACCAGGGGCTCGGAGGAGGGGATTGCTGACTGGTTGGTTCCCCCGTGCAGGTTCGAGCCAGGAGCCAAGGCCTCCCTGCCAGAGAGGAGACGCTCCAGCGAGTGTGCCAGCACATTGCCGTTGTGGTCCGGTCGCTGCCCAAGGACCTCCAGGCCACCCTGCGTCACCAGGAGGCGGCCAGTGCCAGCTGAAGGGGGCAGCTCCCTGGGGTCCAGGGGGGGGGGCCTGGGAGGCGAGGGGAGGAGGGGCCCAGCCTGGGTGGAAGCAGAGCGGCCTAGTGGGCGTAGGTTGCTGCTGCGTGGTGGACAGTGGCGGTGTGTTCTCCTCAAGAGAAGCTAATAAAGCTGCATCGTCCGAAGGGCTTTTCTCAGCGGAGCTCTTTATCCCACCCAATCCCAAATTCATTCCAGAGCCCGTCTGTTTAGAGAAGGGCGGCAGAGAGTTGGCTAAAAAGCTCACCGAACAGAAGCCCAATGGGGTGCTTGTTTGAGGGGTGGGGCGGGGTTTCCTTCTCCCCGCGTCCGGCCCGGGAGGAACCGTGCAGAGCGCCATCCCCCCCCCCACCCCGTGTTTCAGTGGCTCAGCTGAGGCGCCAGGCGAGGAAAAGGCCGCCTCCCCCGGCCGCCTCCTGGCCCTCGAGAGACACGGGGGGGGCGGGGGGGTCTATGTCGATACTCTTGTACCTCCTCACCCTTTTAGGAGTCCCAGAGGTGGCAGGATGCCTCTCAAGGTTGGCGGAGGCTTGACGCTGCCCACAGGGCGTCTGAAGCCATGGGAGAAGGGGGCCCCAGCTGCCCTGCGAGGGCAGCCGTGTCTCTGGCCTCGGGGTCTGGGGGCTGCTGGCAGCATTTGCTTCTCCTGCACTGACCGTCCAAAGGGTGGGATTCCCTGTCCCCCTCCCTCCCCTGCTTCAAAGGCCCCTAGGGGTGATCCAAAACAAGAGGGCTGCCCGCCACCCCCATCGAAGAGAGGCCGTGGGCTATAGCCCCTGCACATTTTATTTGGCAGAACGTTAAAGGACAGCCATTTGTCTGACGTGGTTCAGGGTCTCCTGCTCAAGTGGGGGTTGGACTAGAAGACCTCCGAGGTCCCTATGTTTTATTCGTGCACAGCTGAAGGCTTCCAGGGGTAGCCGGACGCAGCCAAGGAGTCGTCGAAGGTGGCCTTCAGGTCTGGCGAGCAATACAGTGGGAGCCGCTCGCCTGCAACCTCCTGGCGGAAGCTGCCCCGCAACCAGCCGTAGACCAGGCTGTGCAAGAAGCCCTGGAGGGGGGCTGTCAGGGCCTGGGCAGGGCAGAGAAGCTGGCCGTAATTCCCCTCCGGGAGTCTCTCCTCTACCCGAACTCTCCTCCCCCGCACCCAAACTCACCGTGGCCACCAAGAGAGGAAAAAGGGTGGAGAGCTGCAGGCCGGTGAATGACAGCACCACGAGGAGGCATGCTGTGGACAAGAAGGCCGGCCGGTCAATCACTGCCTCCGTTCAGCCTGCCAGCCCCTGTCTGCAGTGAAGCAGTAGGCCGGCTGGCTGGCAAATGGGCACAGGCCACTGACCGGGCATCCAGCAGAGCACGAGGACCAGCTGGAAGCTGCGGGAGACACGGTTTCTGCCAGCCGGACCCCCCTCGCTCCGCAGCCCGTGGCAGTCCCGACACGGCCACCTCTTCACCCTGCAGTAGAGAACCTGCCCAGGGAGGGCAATGGCGTCAGGAAAGGCCCCGTCTGGACAAGCCAAGCGGGCAAGGAAGCAGCCCAGCGCATGGAAGGCCCAGCGGAAAGGGCCAAGCTTCAGGGAGGCCTCGGGAGCTCTGGAGAGGAGGCCCCAGTCTGCTCCGGACTCTGCAGAGAAGGGTGGGGGGGGAGCCCTGGGGCGGGAGAAAGAGCAGCAGCCCTGGAGACAGACGGACGGACGGTCGGCCAAAGGAAAGTCTCTGCCATGTTGGGCAAATAAAACAGAATACAGACCGAGAGCAACCCCCCGCCCCACGTAGCCCAAACAACGTTCCCCGCTTTGGGTAATGGAGCCACCCGGCTCGGAGGGCACCCCTCAAGTAAAAGGGGGCAGGCCCCGTCCCCCCTGTGGGGCCTGGCAGATTCAGCATCTCCTGTCCCCATCGGCCCCCTTGGACAAGACCTGTTGCTGGTAGGAGGGGCGACTTGTGGAGCAGATCCTGGGGGAGGCAGAGGGCAACCTCCGAGGGGTCTTTGGGGACCCAGAGGCTCTGTGCCCCCCCGGCAGCCAGTGGCCAGAGGCCGGCCACCCCCTGCCTTCCGGACAGAGCTCTGTAAAGCTCCCCCCTAAAACAAACTCACAAAATTCAAGTCCAAGCAGTAACATTTTTAGCATGACCGGCCAAGCGTTTCTCCTCTTGGCACCAGAGGTGGCTTCCTTGGCCATGAAATATAGCCAGAGGGGCAAAAGCCAGGGACAAGGGGCGGCTCTTCTGCCACTGGCTTGGCTCGGGCTCAGGCAGGGAAGGTGGGCGTGCGAGCTGGCCTGGCCTCTCCACAGCCCTTCCAAGTCCCTGCCTTAGCCAGATGTTTCAGCCCCTGGAGCTTCAGAAAAAGCCAGCTCTCCCGCATGCTTCGCTCTTGGGCCCTGAAGCGCCTTCGTTGGGTCTGGGCAGATTCCAGCTTGGTAAGCGAGCCCCCTCCCCAAGCGATCGGCCGGGATCTTCTCGTTTCCCCCACCTCCGGAGGTTGAAGTCCACGGAACGGGATGGCCACGTGCATCACTTACCACGCAAGCGGACACCACCACGACCACAAAGGCCAGGAAGAAGATGCTGCTCTCCTTGCCCAGGTGCTGGGGGGAGAGAAGGGGGCCTGGCTGCCTGGGGGTCTGGGCAGCAGGATCAGAATACGGTCAAGGAAAGGCACTGCACATCAAGGAGCGGCTTTCCCCTTCGGCCCAAGTGCACGCTCATTCTGGAGCCACTCATCGCCCTTCCCCCCCCCATCTCTTTTCAACAAACCGACCCCCCCCTCCTCATTCCAGACCTGATGTCACCATTGAGGGTAGCGGGGCATAGCAACCCATCTGTGTCAACCTCTAGAATCTAACTCCTCAAAATTGTCTTTAAACCTTCTTTTGCTAAGTATTGAAGTGAATTTGTGCTCTCAAATTTGTTGATGCAAAGGTTTATAATGGCTAAAAGCAATGAACATTTAGTTCCGCAAGGGAGTAGGGGGAAAAAGCAGGCAAACCCAGCGTCCTTTTAAAGGCACTGGGAGCAATTTGAGCCCTCTTGCAACTGCCTGGACCCCCTGAGGGCGACCTACAAGAGGCTCTACTCGCCAGCTGCCTGCTCCCAGCCTCCGCTTGAGTTAGGAGCTAGGAGGCCTTTCCAGCTCATAACAGCAACCGGCCAGTGACGCCAACTGCCTGGGCCAATGGAGGCTGCCCTTCACTGGCCTCTTCAGAGAGAGGGTGGGCCATCATTGGTCAAGGATACTTTGAACCCCCCCCCTCTCAACCCAAAGGGAGGCTGGAGGGCACAGCTGACCCTGGGCTGCCATACCTTAGAGCAGGAATTCTGGGAGAGGTGAATGAGAATCAGGCAGCTGCAAGGGGAAGGGAAGGGAAGGGGGTGAGACAGGCCTCAAGCCCCCAGCCCCCGTCCCACGTCCTGCAGGAGGACTACTACGCCCCCACCCTCTGGGAGCCAGAGGAGATGCCCACCTGGAGCAGGAGAGGTTGGGGGCCCCCGAGGAGTCATGGCCTGCCTGGGGCAAAGGCTGGAGGAGGGCCTCGCTACTCAGGGGCCCGCTGCTGCGTAGCACCATCAGAGCCAGAACTACCAGGCAAGGGAGCAACCTGGGAGGCAAAGGGAAATCTCTGGGGAGGAGCCCTAGAGAGCCAGAGACCCTCCTCCAGCCATCCGCAGGCTCCCTCGCGCTCTACCTACCAGGCCAGGGTATAGGGCAGAGCCAGCTGGAACCTGAGGCAGCAGGAGCTGTTGTCCTGGCGGAGAGAGAGAGAGAGAGAGAGAGAGAGATCTGGAGCACCAACGGAAGGATGGTGGTCTGGGCATGGCGAAGAGGAGCATTGCTGGCCTTGGGGAAGAGGCAGCGGAGGCAGCCCGGCTCCCCTCTAAAGGGAATGCGCTCACTTCCACACACGGGCAATTGGGACTTCAGAACTGGAAGCGCCACAAGGGCTTTTGCCCAAGGTTGGGGCTGGCTAGCTGGGACCTCCTCCCGCCTGCGCTCTCCTACGGGGAGCAGATGGCTGGGGCAGAGAGCTGCTCTCAAACTCCCCGTCTGGCCTCTGCCCCTCCACTGCAGCAGCAGCAGGGCGAAGGAAGCATGGGGGGGGGGGGGGGGGGAATTGGGCCACACCCCGAGGACCCCCAGGGCCCATACCTGAGTCACTCTCCAGCCTCTGACCGCCCGGTTCACTTCCCAGGCGTAGACGAGCACCATCAGCAGAGAGATGGCGTAGAACATCTGGGGGGGCAGGAGGGGACGAGGCACACATGGGCTCTGCACTCCCTCTGGAACCATCCCTTCCCCAAGCTTTGGGGCAGCCCCTCCCATTCTGACTCTTAGGTGAGGGGGGGGGGCAAGGAGGAGAGAAGGAAGCGGCCCCGTCCAGCCCCGGGGGGAGGAGGGGGAGGCCAAGGGCTCTTCCCTTGCAGATCCTTCCCTCTGCCTGGATGGAGGACTCCAGACTGACCCACCAGCCACCCTCCCCAGCACGGGCTGGGCTGGGCCAGCAAGGAATCATCCCTCATCCCTCCCACACGCACAGCTGCCCCCCCTCCAGTGCCACCCGAGGAGGGGCAGAGTTACCATGCCAAACATCCTCCCATACAGGCAGAAGCCATGGGCCGCCCCAAAATGCTGGGTGGGAAGGAGGTGGACGGCCATGGTGGGGATCAGCACCGCAGCGCCCAGGAAGTCCGCGAGTGAGAGGAGGACGAGAGGCCGGAGCTGTGGACGAGCAACAGGTCAGAGGCCCCCTGCAGCCAACCAGCAGGCCGAGCCACCCTCCTTTCTGTGCACCTTGCAGCATAGGCTTTCTTGGCCCCCAACACAGGCCGCTCCAGCCTTTTCCCTCAGCCGGGCACAGCCCAGGCGGAGGCCGCCTCCATGGGCAGTCTGCAGAACCCGAGTCAGCGGGGTGTGGGTGTGTCAGCTGAATGCAGCCACATTTGGACAGCACAAACACCCACACGGAAACCTGCCTCGGGTAGGCCCCTACTTTCCTAGGACTGGGAGGGACCTTGGAGGTCTTCTAGTCCAACCCCCCGCCCAAGGAAGGAGTCCTTACGCCTTTCTCAAGTGAAGAGGCCTACCCGTTTTTTCAAGGAGTCTCCGCGCCTGTCCTGGCAGCCTGAACTAGCCAGCTGTGCCAGGCTTTTAGCAGGAAATCAGAGCTGCCAGGCCGCTCAGCCTGGGGCGGCAGCCTCAGCCTTTCAGGGTTGGTGCTGGCTCGATCACAGGAGGAGGAATCGCTCCATGGTTAATAAAAATGCACCCATTCCCAAGAGGCCCTGGGCAGGTGGCTGGTTCCTGTGCCCTACACCTGGCCCTGGATAGGGGCTGTCCATCTCCAGGGGGTGGGCAGCGGCCACTGTTGCCCTTTTAGGCATTCTTGCAGGTGGCCTTCCCTAAAAATTAGCTCTCCGGGTAGAATTACGTGTGTTTTATCACAGTTCTTTGACCTCCATTTTCAGTTGTTTATGGCGTTTACCGCACAGCCTCAGAGCTGAGGAAATGAAGCAGAATGACAGAAGGGCTGCAAAGGGAAAACCGGCGGCACCGCGCTCTGCCCCCTTGGCAGCGGCCCTCAGGGACAGGCGGCTTCCTTCGGGGGTGCATCAACCAAGCCCGCCCACGGCAGGGATTGGCATCTTGGCATCTTGGCATCAGGGACCCCCTGCCAAACTTTCAGACATCAGAGTGTACAGTTGGTGAGTGTGTGTGTGTGTGTGTGTGTGTGTGTGTGTGTGTGTGTGAAATCTTGCGCAGCTTGTGTGACGATAATTCAGGGCCTTGTGGAAACCCAGAGGAGTAGTGAACTATAAACCAGGTTGCCAAACTTCAGACCTGGTCACAGCAGCATTGTCCTCGGCGGACGACCACGGCCAGAATGGAGGCACTGCCCAGCAGGCTGAAAGAGAAACCCAGCAGGATCAAGTGCCCCCACCCCAGGGCTGGTGGGCTTTCCCCTCCCTCCCCTGCCTGCCCCGAGCCAAGTTTGCATTGGGAGCAGGAAGAAGTCCCAGGATTTCCTCCCCCCCCCGCGTCCCGCCCCTTCTGAGAACAGGGGCCTCCCTCCAGCCCGCCCCCCCTGCACCGGAGGCAGGCACGGTACTCATGCAGCAGCCACAGGAGGGGGGAACCACTCACAAATGATGCCCAAGACCCCTGCTACCCTTCCTCCTTCCCCCAACTGCCCTGCAGCACAAGCCTTGGACCTCACACCCTGCCAGCCCCCCCCTCCCCCACAGCAGGCCCACAAGGAAGCCCATGCTAGGTTTAGGGCCAGGCGTGGGCCCCCAGCCTCCTCTGCAGGGGAGCCAGAGAGTGGGGAATTTCCCCCCTGCCCCGGAGTTCCTTTGTCCCGTGCGTCCCCACAGAAAAGGAAGGGCAGGACCAGATTCAGACCCCGTGGTTTAGAGTCACCCGGGTTCCTGAGGCTGCTGGAGATGGGGAAGCAAGCGAGGCTCCCCTGTGCCCTGGGAGTCCGGCACGGAAGCTTAGCTAGCCCCTCTGCTCACCTGAGGGAGAGGGTCACCAGGTAGATCCACACCAAGACCAGGATCTAGAGAAGCAGAAAGATGAAGGTGCCACCTAGAATTGCATTTGTCTCCTTTGCAACCAGCTCATGCTGCCAATTCACGGCTTGTGATTTACTGTCACTCCAAATTGCCCCCCCCCCCCGGTTTCCCTCATCTGCGCATTGGATTGTTTCTGAAGAATTGTGCATTTTTCTCAACTAAATCTGGCCTTAGGTTGGTATCTCCCGTTGCGTGTTGTATTTTAGGGTGCTCGCTATCTCACCCAATTCTAGAAAGCATTTCACCGCCCTTTCCTCCGAGAAGATCCAAACCCTGGTGCCTTTTCCAGAGGGGGAACCAGGGAGCCGCGCTCTTAGGACTCCGGAGTCAGCAACGCTTTCTGCTTAACGGCCAGCACACTTCATCGGCTGGCTAAAGCGGCATATCATGGGATACTTTACCAAACACTTTGATAGGCTACTCTGATACTCTACAAGGCAGTTAGCCAGTTAAAAAAAGAAAAAGAAAACTCAGGTTAGTTTGCAAAAATCTTTTGCTGACAAAATCCAAGCTGATCTGCAATAAAGCCCCTCTTGTTTCCGAGGCTGAGGCCCACGGCTGCCTGGCTCTTATTGTCCTGGGTTCTTTTGGAGGGGCTGGAGTTCAGGGCACGGCCGGCAGTGGCAGCTTTGGAGACGTGGCTCCCGAGCACAGCGAACCAGCAAGGCGGCCAGCCGGCTGCCCTGGAAAGCCAGCAGTGGGCCTGGAAGAACTGCCTCGCCCACCCCCCGTGCAGTGCCAGGGCAGGTGTGGGCTCCTGGCTGACCTTGGCAGCCAAAGGGAGGGAACTGCAGGGCGAGTGCCCAGGACTTGCAGCCACCTGGCCCGAGAAACCTGGCTACGTGAATGGAAGGGAGGAGTTCCGCCTGCCCACAGTGAGGTGACGGGTGCCCTGGCTCACCCTGCCTAGGCCAGCCTGGCTCCCCATTCAACTCCGGGGGGGGGGGGGCATTGAGTAACCTGTACCCCAGACATCCTACATGCGCAGATCCCCCGTTCTTAGGGCTGGACTGGGAGGTCCCACCAGTCTCCAAGCTGGGCTGGGTACCTGGAATTGGCAGCCATTTTGGGAACAGTCCACTTGGTGGCCTCCACACCACCTACAGTGCAGCCTCTGCGTTCCCAGGGACTGCTGCGCAAGGCCAGACACGGAGGGAGGGAGCCTAGCCCGGCACCAAACTCTTACCTTTTGCCAGGCCAGCCCCATCCAGGTTTGGCAAACTAGGTGATCTCTGCCCTCCCCCAAACCACTGCCTCTCCCTAGGAACGGGCTCAAGTCCCGGAGGGTGTACCTTGTCGGCTGGCAGGGGCGATCCCCACTTGCTTTCCTCAGCCATGGGGACGGCTGCTGTTGCTGCCGCTTCGGCTACTGACCTCGCCCCGTCCCCTTGGGCCCGCCCTCTCAGCTGAGCTGTTTTGCGCAAGGGGACCCGGCTGGAGGCTGCCCCAAGGGCCTCTGAGGCCACTCCCCTTGCCTGAGGCTTCACCTGGCTACAGCCCTGAGCCAACGCAAGGGGAGGGGCACCCTTCCCAGGTCTTCCCTGTGGGAGGGGGCAGCCTCCGGCTCCCTTGCCCCGCTGAACCCCTGGCTCCTCAACCTCCCCTGGCCAGACCTCTGCTGCACAGCCTCCTGGGCAGGGCTTGGCCCCATGAAGGAGAACCTGCCTGGCAAGTGACCGTCGGGACCCAGGCTGCAGCTCAGCCCACCCTCAGGGCTCAGCTGTCCCTCGGTTAAAAAGCCGCCCAAGGGGAGGAGGGGGAGAGCGAGACGGTGCCCACATTTGGCCACTGAGCACCATGGGCGAAAGGGGAGCCTGCCAACCTCTCAGTGGGTGGCTTCTTAATTTCAGCCACAGGTGGGCTTGGGGCAGCCTGCCAGCCGTCCAGTCTCTCACAGGACCGTTCATGCTAGGCATTTCGACTTAAGGAAAATACTTCACATGAACTGAGCCAACCAGAAGGGTCCCTGCCACTCAGGAGCCGGAGATCCGTGAAGCGAAGATGGTCGGGGCAGAGTTAGCCTCAGCCCAACCCCCCGCCCTCCTCCTCCCTCAAGGAGCCAGGAGGCCCCTTCCCCAAGTCACCCCTCTCCGCCTCTAAAGCACTAGGCCGCCTGTGGCAAGCTCCCTCCAGACAGGCCGACCAGCAGAGCGGCAGTCCTGGGTTAGCAGCAGCTCCACTGGGGGAGGATGGGGAGGGATGAGAACAGGGCAGCCTGCAGCATTGGGAACGGCTGCCCAATCTGCTCCCCGGGGGAGGTGTGGGGATTGCAGGCAGGGAGAGCAGGCAGAGCTGGGATTCTGGATGGTTCCCCCCCTCCTCTGAGCTCCACTGGAGGTCACCGGATGGGCCCTAAAATAGAGGGGTCAAAGACCTTCCAGGCGGCTGCCGAGCCCACGGGGCTGCCCTGGGGGCTCGCTTCTGTTCTCCTTCCACAGCCTGCAACTGATTTTCCAACTCCTCCCCGAAGCTTCTCCCTCGCTGCAGGCCCAGTCCCTTTCCATTCTCCTTTGGCATGGCTGGACAGGGAGAAATCCAAGCCTGTTTCCAGTTTCTTTCCAAAACCGCTGGGGCGGAAAGAAGGAAAAAACACGCTCCGCAGGCCTGGACACGTGCCCTATTCTGGCTGTCCAGATGGCAGAACTCTAAGGAACCCAATAAGCTGCAGCTGCTCTGGGCCTCTCACCCGGGGCCTCTGCCTCACCTCCCCAGAGAGGCAGGCAGAAGGACGGAGGGCTAAGCCTTCTGCACCGGGAGCCCAAATGTGAAAGGAGCACAAAACGGCAACTGTAGCCCACGGTTCTCTGCTGCCACAGGAGTGGACAAGCGCTGGCCAAGAGGCCAGGCAGCACCTTCAGGATTGACCTGCTCAGGTACCCTAACAGCCGCCAGCTGGTTGGCCTTTGAAAGGGAGGGGGCAGACCATAGCAGCTCCTCTGCAAAGGTTTACCCTGAAGGTATGCGATGGGTGATGCACCCCAGTGAGGGTGCTTCCAAGACGGAAACACAGGGAGAGAGTCGCTCACAACACGAGCTATTCAGTTCTTGGTCAAGATTCCCAGCAACGAGAGCGCCTGACTCTCTTCTGACCTCACAGCTTCTCTAACCTGCACCGAGTTCCTTTTCAGAAAACCGTTTCATGTCTGCGTACCCAAGCACGCAAGACATGCAATCCTAACCCCATCTGGACAAAATATAACTATCTTTACATAAGCCCTGCCCCAAGGAATCACACATTTTAGCCGTCATGGCACAGCGGTTAGAATGCAGGATTGCAGGCTGACTCTGCCAACTGCCAGCAGTTCAGTCCTCACCAGCTCAAGGTTGACTCAGCCTTCCAAGGTTGGTAAAATGAGGAGCCAGATTGTTGGGGGCAAGAGGCGGACTCTCTAACCTGCTCAGGGAGGGCTATGGAGCACTGAGAAGCGGTATGTAAATCTAAGGGCTAATACTCTAAATGGCCTAATTTCCAAGAGGCTAAGATGACGCCAAGTTCCCATGCCAAAAACTGCTGCGAGGTGGCCGGTAGCGCTCCATCCTTTCACATGCGACACTGAAGTGCGTTTTAGACCCAGCAGGCAAACTGAAACTGCCCGAGGACTCTGGAGGGAAGACAAGCCACAAACCCCAGCTGCTCTTTTCTGAGCTGTGAAGGGAGTCAGGAAGGTCCCCTGCCCTGTTTCCCCCACCCCTGTAGGGCCACCTAGAGTCGCCCTTGTCAGATGAGAGGCCATGTTGACTGAAGGGAGAGGAGTGAACCGGGGCCCTTGGCTGGGAGAGGGCGCCAAGAAGGGTGCGCCAAGATCGGGAGGGGGAAATCTTAGCCCTTTCTGGCCCAGCCCCGCCCCCCCACCCCGGACCGCTGCATCTCCATGGCCCGAGGGCGACGGCAGTGCTGGAGGAACGCCCCCCCCAAGGCTCCGCCCAAAGGTGGGCTCTGGCTCCAGCCCAGGCGCTCACAGGAGAGGCTTCAGTGGCTGATGCTTTATTGGCTGGCCTCAACCGCCGGCTGCCGGTCCACATTTGGCACAAGTATTGGGACAAACACTGGCTGGACTCCCGAATGGAGCCCTTTAAAAAGAACAAAGACCCCAAATGGAATCCCTGCAGCCCCAGGGAGGCATGGAGTCACTCAGGCTGGCGTCTTGGCTGGTCCTGTGGCCTCCCCAGTCAAGGGCTGAGAATGGCTACGGCTTGCTTTGAGGCCGGAATAGGGAAGCCAGCCTCAGTAGGAACTCCCCACCCCCAGCAAGCAGGGGGTGTGTGCGGTTCATCTCTGCCCTGAAAGCCACCAGCCGCTGCTTGCGCCCACATGGCTCAGAACAGCCTGTCTCTCTTCTGGGCTAAAATGCAAAATAGTCAATATGGCCGTCAGGGTTTGCTGGCGTGCCAGCAAATCTGTCAAAGTCAGGAACCTGTAGAAAACGTTCTTGAGGTATTCCAGGTTGGCTCCCTCTCTGCTCCGGTCCCTGGAGGTCTTTTGAAGGTGGCCCTGGAGCAGAGACAACTCCTCTCGGTGCTTCTCTCCTTCTTCCAGCAGCTTCTCCTGCAACTGGCGAGCCTCCACCTCCAGCTGGTGCTTCTGCTTCTTCAGGGCCAAGATCTCCACCTCCTTCCGAGCCAGCTGCTCTGTGTACAGCAGGAAGGTGGGCTCGCTGGGGGCAGGGAGGGGCAGGGCCAGGTGCTCCAGGGCATCGTCACCCACCCCACTGTCGCTGTGGGCGCTGCCGCTGCCACCACTGCCCGGCCCCGTGGCCGTTTTGGGAGCCTGCACCCCGAAGGGCACAGACAAGGCCCTCAGTTGCTGCAGCTCCTGGTCCTTTTCCATCAGGACAGCCAGGGCCCGGTCCCGCTGCTTGTGCATCTCCTCCTCCAGCCGCAGGGCCTTCTCCCGGCCCTCCGACAGGCACCGCTCCAACTCCTGGCGGTGAAGCTGCTGGAGGAGAGCTGCCTCTCGCCTCTTGGCCTCCAGCTGCTCCTGGTGCTGCTTGGCCTCCTCCTCGCAGGACAGCCGAAGGGAAACGTATTTCTCCTTCAGCTCCAGCAGCTGCTCCTGGCTCTCCTCCAGTTCTCTGGCCAGGTTCCCATCTTTGGCCGATTTGTTTTTCAAGACCACCTGCGCCCTCGCCTTGTACCTCTCAAACTCCTCCTTCAGCTGCTTGAGCTCCTGTTGATAACAGGCCAGGGTGGCCTTCTCGCCGTCCCCAGACTCCGCGTCCTTAGCGGGCTCAGCCGGGCAGACAGCCTCGCCGTCCCCCACGAGAGGTGGCGCGTGCTCGGCAGCCACTAGTGCCAGCTCTGTCAGCTTCTCCACCTGGTCTCTCAGCACATTGGCGTCCAGGCGGCCGTCCTCCAGGGCAAGGCCCACCGTGGCGTGGCCAGAGGCGGCTACGGCCAGGGTCTTGTTCTCGAGGTCCAGCTGGAGGAGGCGGTCCTTCAGCTTCTGGAGGGCAGCCTGGTCCTTCTGCCTGGCCTTCTCGTAGGCACCCAGCAGCTCCGACATCTCGGAGATCCGGGCCTCCAGGGCGGCCACGTGCTGCTCTCCCATCCGCAGGTGCTCGTCAGCTTGGGCGGCCTGGGGGGGAAGGAGAGGCGGTCATTCTCGCCCGCGGGCGGGCGGG